GCAGAGATGGAATCTGTACGGCAGTACCTGAAGGGCACAGATGCCATCGCTGGTGTCCTGGTGGAGTCTACAGGCCAGAAGCTCACCTTCTACGAGGCCCTGAAGAGAAACCTGCTGAAGCCAGAGGTTGCCCTGCCCCTGCTGGAGGCACAAGCTGCCACCGGCTACATCATTGACCCCGTGGGTAACAAGCTCTTCTCCGTGGATGAGGCGGTGAAGGCCGAGGTTGTGGGGCCAGAGTTCCACGAGAAGCTGCTGTCGGCAGAGAAGGCGGTGACTGGCTACAAGGATCCCTACACTGGTCAGACGGTTTCCCTCTACCAAGCACTCCAGAAGGGCCTCATCCCCAGCGACACTGGGCTCCGGCTGCTGGACGTCCAGCTTGCCACTGGTGGCATCATCGACCCCGTCAACAGCCACAGGCTCCCGCTTGAGGTCACCTACAAGCGCGGCTACTTTGACCCAGAGATAAACAAGGCTCTGACTGAGTTCCAAGATGATGCCAAGGCTTTCTACTGTCCCAACACTCAGGAACACCTCACCTATGCCCAGCTGCAGAAGAGTTGCCACCGCGACAAGCAGACTGGCCTGTGCCTGCTGCCCCTGTCCGACAAGGCAATCCAGTCACAGCAGGAGGAGGTCTACACCGACAGCCAGGCCAAGGAGTGCTTCGACAAAGCAACCATAGAGGTTCCGGTGGGCAGCATGAAGGGCCAGACAATGACCATCTGGGAGCTGATCCACTCTGAATACTTCACAGAGGAGCACAGGCGGGAGCTGCTCCGGCAGTACAAGACCGGCAAAGTGACAATCGAGAAGATCATCAAGATTGTGATCACCATCATCGAGGAGGCAGAGACCAAAAAGCAGGAGAAACTGACATTCAGTGGTCTGCGGGCTCCGGTGCCAGCCAGTGAGCTGCTGGAGTCCTGCATCATCAGCAAAACCCAGTACGAGCAGCTGAAGGAAGGCAAGAAATCAGTGAAGGACCTCTCGGAGACGGATTCGGTGAGGAGATTCCTGCATGGCGGTGACTGCATTGCCGGTGTCTATGTGGAGGCCACCAAGGAGAAGCTGAACATCTATGAGGCCATGAGGAGGAACCTGCTGAGACCCAGCACTGCTGTGGTCCTCCTGGAGGCCCAAGCAGCCACTGGGTTCTTGATTGACCCTGTGAAGAACCGTAAACTGTACGTCAACGAAGCGGTGAAGGCTGGCATTGTTGGGCCTGAGCTGCATGAGAAGCTGCTGTCAGCTGAGAAGGCTGTCACAGGGTACAAGGATCCCTACTCGGGCGATACCATCTCCCTGTTCCAGGCCATGAAGAAGGGTCTCATTGTCAAGGAGCACGGCATCCGCCTGCTCGAGGCCCAGATCGCCACCGGCGGCATCATCGACCCCGTGCACAGCCACCGCCTGCCGGTGGAGGTGGCCTACAGACGTGGCTACTTCGATGAGGAGATGAACCGGACCCTCTCCGACCCCACTGATGACACCAAGGGCTTCTTTGACCCCAACACTCAGGAGAACCTCACCTATATGCAGCTGAAGGAGAGATGCATCGAGGATCCCGAGACGGGCCTATACCTGCTGCCTCTGCGGGAGCCCGAGAAGCCAAAAGTGGTGGAAACCACTCAGATGTACACAGAAGCAGAGACACGGAAGGTGTTTGAGGAGACGCAGGTGGACATCCCTGTGGGCAGCCGGGCAGGCTCCTCCATGTCACTGTGGGATATCATGCACTCAGATCTGCTGCCCGAGGAGCAGCGTAAACATCTCATGGAGGAGTTCCAGTCAGGCCGCGTGTCCAAGGAGCGCATGATCATCATTATCATTGAGATCATTGAGAAGACTGAGATCATCCGGCAGCAGAATCTCACATCCTATGACTACGTCCGGCGCCGCATCACAGCCGAGGACCTCTACGAGGCCAGGATTATCTCACAGGACATCTACAACCTGCTGAAACAGGGCTCTAAAACCTTCCGGGAGCTCCTGGACGTGGAGACAGTCTGGAAGTACCTTTATGGGTCAGGCTGCGTGGCTGGCATCTACATCCCCTCCTCCAAGCAGACTCTCAGTGTCTACCAGGCGCTGAAGAAGGGGCTGATCAATTCTGAAGTGGCCCGCTCCCTCCTGGAAGCCCAGGCAGCCACTGGCTTCATGATCGACCCCACGAAGAATGAAATGCTGACTGTTGATGAGGCAGTCAGGAAGGGCGTGGTGGGGCCAGAGATCCACGACCGGCTGCTGTCCGCGGAGAGGGCTGTGACTGGCTACAGGGACCCATACAGTGAACAGAAGATTTCCCTCTTCCAGGCCATGAAGAAGGATCTCATTCCCAGCGAAGAGGCCCTCAAGCTCCTAGATGCCCAGATTGCCACTGGTGGCATAATTGACCCGCACCTGGGCTTCCACCTGCCCCTGGAGGTGGCCCTCCAGCGGGGCTTCATCAACAAGGAGACGTATGACATGCTGTCGGAGCCCAGTGAGGTGCGCAGCTACGTGGACCCCTCTACAGATGAGAAGCTCAGCTACACGCAGCTGCTGAAGCGGTGCCGGAAGGACGAGAGCTCCAGGCTCCTCCTGCTCCCACTCTGCGACACACGGAAGCTTACCTTCCGGGGGCTGCGGAAGCAGATCACTGTGGAGGAGCTGGTCCTTTCGCAGGTGATGGATGAAGCCACAGCCCAGCGCCTTCAGGAGGGTCTCACCTCTATCGAGGAGGTCTCTAAGAACCTGAAGAAGTTCCTGGAGGGCACCAGCTGCATCGCTGGCGTCTTTGTGGACTCCACAAAGGAGCGTCTGTCCATCTACCAGGCCATGAAGAAGGGGATCATCCGGCCTGGCACTGCCTTCGAGCTCCTGGAGGCGCAGGCGGCCACGGGCTACGTGATTGACCCCATCAAGGGCCTCAAGTTGACAGTGGAGGAAGCTGTGCGCATGGGCATTGTGGGCCCCGAGTTCAAGGACAAGCTGCTCTCTGCTGAGAGGGCCGTCACTGGCTACCGCGACCCCTACACCGGAAAGCTCATCTCCCTCTTCCAGGCTATGAAGAAGGGTCTGATCCTGAAGGACCACGGGATCCGCTTGCTGGAGGCACAGATCGCCACGGGAGGCATCATTGACCCCGAGGAGAGCCACCGCTTGCCTGTGGAGGTGGCCTACAAGAGGGGCCTCTTTGACGAGGAGATGAACGAGATCCTGCTGGACCCTAGTGATGACACCAAGGGCTTCTTCGACCCCAACACGGAGGAGAACCTCACCTACCTGCAGCTCATGGAGCGATGCATCACGGACCCAGAGACCGGCCTCTGCCTCCTGCCTCTGAAGGAGAAAAAGCGGGAGAGGAAGACCTCCTCCAAGTCCTCCGTCCGCAAGCGCCGGGTGGTGATCGTTGACCCAGAGACTGGCAAGGAGATGTCTGTGTACGAAGCCTATCGCAAGGGCCTCATTGACCACCAGACTTACCTGGAGCTGTCAGAGCAGGAGTGTGAGTGGGAGGAGATCACCACCTCCTCCTCCGATGGCGTGGTGAAGTCCATGATCATCGACAGGCGCTCGGGGCGCCAGTATGACATTGATGATGCCATTGGCAAGGGTCTGATTGACCAGTCAGCCCTGGACCAGTACCGCTCCGGCACCCTCTCCATCACTGAGTTTGCTGACATGCTCTCTGGCAACATGGGTGGCTTCCGATCACGGTCGTCCTCAGTTGGGTCCTCCTCCTCCTACACTGTCAGTCCAGCCCTGTCACGGACCCAGATCTCCATGTGGACTGACCCAACCGAAGAGACTGGGCCAGTGGCAGGCATCCTGGACACGGACACTCTGGAGAAGGTGTCCATCACGGAGGCGATGCGCCGCAACTTGGTGGACAACATCACAGGGCAGCGGCTGCTGGAAGCCCAGGCCTGCACCGGGGGCATCATCGACCCCAACACCGGTGACAAATGCACCGTTGCTGACGCGGTCAACAAGGGCCTGGTTGACAAGATCATGGTGGACCGCATCAACCTGGCGCAGAAGGCCTTCTACGGCTTCGAGGACCCGCGGACCAAGACAAAGATGTCAGCGGCGCAGGCCCTGAAGAAGGGCTGGCTGTACTACGAGGCCGGGCAGCGGTTCCTGGAGGTGCAGTACTTGACAGGGGGCCTGATCGAGCCCGATGCCCCAGGCCGTGTCTCCCTGGATGAGGCACTGCAGAAGGGCACCATTGACGCACGAACTGCCCAGAAACTGCGGGATGTCAACACCTATTCCAAGTACCTCACCTGCCCCAAGACCAAGCTCAAGATCTCCTACAAGGACGCCATGGACCGGAGCATGATCGAGGATGGGACTGGCCTGCGGCTGCTGGAGGCCTCCTCCCAGTCCAGCAAGGGCTACTACAGTCCCTACAACATCAGCAGCGCCGGCTCCACCTCCGGATCGCGCTCAGGCTCTCGCACCGGCTCCCGCTCAGGCTCCCGGCGTGGCAGTTTTGACGCCACTGGCTCCGGCTTCTCCATGACCTTCTCCTCCTCCTCCTACTCCTCCTCGAGTTTCGGGCGCAGATACACGGGGAGTACCCAGGGCACCATGGAGGAGGCTGCCCTTGCCCTTGCCCTGGCCGCATCCAGAAGCTGCGGGTGGGAGGCGAGCAGGGAGTGCCCCGGGGTGTCTGGGCCCCTGCTCCACGTGGCCTGAGACCTGCCAGCCCCCCGAGGCGCCGCCTCACCCGCTCCGCATGTGGCAACGCTGCTGGCTAATCACTAGTATTTTTTTTTAATTTTGAACCTCCACTCTTCTCCCAAAGCAGTGCCTCAAGTTTAACCAAAAAGACAAGACTAATAAATTAATATATGCGAATGTGCTGACAGTGTTTGTATATTAAGAGACAAGAGAGAATACACACTACCCTCCCCACCCGTGCCCCAGGAGCTGGACACCATTCCTGCTCCTGGCCGTGCCAATCCCGCCGCTACTCCCATACGGCGCGGCCGAGCCGGACACCAAGAAAACAGTTCCCTGTTTGGATCTAACCACTTAGCACTCTTTTGTAATTAACCTACCGGCTTCAGACCCTGCACTCCAAAGGAGGAGACTGCCTTGGCCCTGTGGTGCACCCCACTGCAAACAATGTGCCAGAGGAGGACATCTCCAGCTCCTCAAGCACTGGACAGCCAGACACACCACACCAGCCCTGAAGCTGCTGCCTGGAACCCTTCCACGCGCCCTCAGTGCAGCGAGGAGGGGGCTCTGCACCCCAGCCCCCCGAGCTGCCCCATCTCCCTGCCTTGGCCTCCTGGCACATCCCCACCACCACGCCGCCGAGCCGGTGCCCTGACCGTAAGTGCCGCGCTGGCGCTGCCCGGTGCTTCCGCGCCACGCGGGGGGACCTGCCTCCGCTCGCCACTTCGCCCGCCGAGGGGCTTCGCTGCGTGCCTGCCTCCGCCAGCCCACCCGCTCACCCATCCTCCGGGACGTGCCTGCCGCGGTCGGCCGGTCTGTCTGTCAGTCTCTCCGTGTATCTGGGAAGTGCTTCTGCTCGAGGTTGATTTCCTCACACTCGTGTGGCTCCACGACCCATTGGCAGGTGTCTGCCAGAGCCCGCGCCCCAGCCTGGGTCTGAGCAGCTCCTGTCCCCAGGACTCCCCAGAGCCGTGGGGGTTTTCCTGACCCTCACAAAGCGTATGAGGGCCATGGGACCCCTGCAGCACAGGGTGGGCCATAGGATGCTGCAGCAGCCTGGCACACACTCTTGTTAGAAATAAGCAGATTTCTGTAACACAGCCTCCTTTTCCTTCTTCGCGGTAATTCCATCCCCCTGGTTCATCCCCATGCCGGCGCTAATGCGCTCTCTCTCTGGCAGACGTCTTTTTCCAGTCCCAACAAAGACCTCCCAGTGCCGCTGGGCGAGCTCCTGAGCTGGGTCTCCGACATCAGCAGGTCATGGATGGGCTCGAGGGGAGCCCCGGAGGCAGCAGCTGCTCGGCCGTGCTCACCTGCGCAGGTAACGCCGACCTCCCCGGTCCCACAGCGGGTGCTCTGCACTGACAGCCGGGCTTGGTAGCTTCATTTCATGGATTGTTCTCCCTGTCTCATCCCATCTTTTCTGTTCGCTTTGTTGTAGTGTGGCTGGATGTCCATACCACTTCCCCTCATCGCCGCCATGGAGCCCGTCCCCCGCCCTGAGGCCAGTGGGACTGCACCTGAGGACACAGGGACGTTCTCCCTCACCCTTTGCACTTGCCAGAGTCCCCTGCCAGAGACTGGGGCCACAGTGCCCGAGCAGCCAGTGGCCCAAGAAGCACCCACAGGGTCACCTGGCCCCCACTCGCCCCACACACTCCCTCCTCCCTGGGGATGGCCTCCTGGTGTGGTGTTTGGCTCACTGCGGATCTCCAAAACATCTCCTCCTTCCCACCTGCTCTCATCTGCCACCTGTAAATCCTGTCATGTTACCCTCTGCCTCTGGTGTCATTATTGCTCTCATGACCCCGTTTGGCTTTGCATGAGGTGCCACTGCACGCGGCTCCAGGACAGTCCCCACTCCCAGGGCCCCCCACACCCCGACCATCACTCATCGGGACGGTGGGGGTCCATGGATTACCCAAACACATATCTTTTTGGGGGCAAAACACTAAACTTGTACATACCACGGAGTGTCTGTAAAAGGAGCAGTGCGGACCCAGGGCTCCCCTGCAAGGGCAGTAAAGGAGAATCCTCTGAAACCATCCGGCAGCTCTGCGTGATCTGTTCGCCCCTTGGCCTTGCCACCGTGGCCGTGGGCTCCCATTGCCTCCTGCAGCTTCATGCCACAGGCTCCATGGGCTGCCACAGGTCGGGCTGCCAGGGGTCTGACCAGCTCCTGGGTGTAGCCATGGTGCTTCCAGACACAGAGCAGGGCCACAGGGTCATCCCCAGAGCTGCCCCATGCTGGCGGCACAGCTGGCACTGCTGGGAGGTCAATGTGGGTGCAGCACTGGATCCCTCCTTTTGGGGAGGGGGTGCTGCTGGTGCTGTGGGGGCTTCTGAGCATTGCTTGTAGGAGGACAGACCTGTCCCTTCATCAGTGGGGCTCTGGACTGGGCAGGGACGCTGTCCTCCATGGTACTGTTCCCACACATGCTGCTCCCACTGCCGGTGCTGTGGCCTCTGCCTGGTGTGGGCTGTGCTGTGGGCACTCTGTGGGCAGTGGGGGCTGCTGTGGGTGGATGGCAGCGGTCAGCTGTGAGGCTGAGGGGCTTTGAGGGGTTCAGGATGTGATGGCCTGGCAGCCGCTGGTAGGGCAGCAGCGTTCAGAAGGGAAAGCCTGGCAAACCCGGGGACATCAGTGCAGCCATTGGCACGGGTGGCTCGAGGGGTCTGTCCAGCCCAGTGGTGCAGGTGCCACTGCACAGCCCAGGCTGGGACTCCCCGAGCACGAGGCTCATCCCGCAGCAGTGCCGGGAGCCCCAGGCACTGTGCCAGGAGCGCCAGAGCTGTCAGGACCTTGCCGGACCCCTGCAATGTCCAAAGGGTGGTGGGGTCTCAACTGTGCCAGGACCAGCCAAGCATGTCAGCAGCCCGAGTGGGGCTGGCTGGGACAGATGGCGGTGGCTGGGTAGGACGTTAATTGCATTGTCCATCGCAATTAACCGCAGCGTCCGTCTGTCCCCATAGGGAGTGGGATGTGGCCGTTAGGTGCAGCTGGGCCAGGGGGACTCAGGGGGGCTCCAGGCTGCTGCCGCCATTGGGGAGGCTCAGGGGAGGTCCCAGAACAGCAAGACATTCGCCCAGGTGACACAAACTGCTTGGGGCCCTGCCCCACCAGATATTTCCTTGTGTCCCCCAGATCTTCCCTGCTCCCCCAGGTATTCCTTGCTTACCTCCCAACTCCTCCCCCAGGGTGAGTAACCTTTGCTAAAGCTCATGAGACCACCAAGAGCCCTCTTACCCATGGCCCAGTCCCATGGCATGGCCTGGAAGCCCCTCATCCCCCTACCACCCGATACTGGTGGGGTCCAACTCTGTTTCCTGGTGAGAAACACCCCTGCTCCCCACATCCATGTGCCAAGGGGGTCCCTGTTCCCCACACCCCTTCGACCCTGTGCCCCTGGCATGGGGATGCTCCCTGGCGTGCCTGAGGCAGTGGGATCCCCCGGCAGTGGCTGGCATAGGGGCTCAGGAGGGTGAGCAGGGTGGATGCCTTGAGATCCAGGCTGACTGCTCCTGGGGTGAGCCGGCCTCTTCCCCCACACAGCACAGTGTCCCCTGTCCACGGACACTCTTCATCATCTTGTGCTGCTCCATGTCAGCCCCCTGCCCCACTGATACCCCTGTCCCGCCCACAGCCCCCTCAGCACCGTGTGCTGGGAGTGACCGAGCCAAACTCGGTCACCATGGAGAACTCCATGATATTCCCCATTTTAATGCCCTACATGTCATCCTGCCCTGCTGCTGCGAAGGCTGGAGCTAACCCTCCCCACCCCCCCGAGTTAAACCATCCCTCAGCATTGCGGTGGCACGGGGGGCACCGGCCCTGGAGGGGTCCCTCGCCCCCGCCAGCGTTTGCCCACCACCCTTCGGGGCGTGAGCGGCAGCACCGCCCCGTGCTGGCTGCGGTCCGTCGCGTGGGACCCGTGGCCGCTGTCCCGGGCCCTGCTGGCACAGAGCAGCTGCCAGCTCGCTGTGCCCACCGCCCCGGGCGCTGCTGGCTCGGCCCCCGCCGCGCCGGGAACGTTCTGTACAGCTTCTCCACAAAGACGGACCGGCCTCTCCCACGCCCCCCCCTCGCTGGGGCGCTGAACCTCCTCACGGCCAGGGACCCCGAGACCCCCCCGGCCGTGCCTGCGGCTCGGAGCCCGGGCGCGCCGGCCAAGGGCGGCTGTGCCCCGTGTGAAGCGCGGCCGCCTCCGTGCCCCGCCGGCCTGTGCCGGGGCCGCTCTTGGCTGGGCCGGTGAATCCCCCCGGCCACGGGGCGAGCGGGGCCGGTGCTGCCCCAGGGCTGCAGCCGCCACGTCCTGCCGGGCACCAGGCGGCCCCCAGAGCCGCGGACCGCGGCGGTGCGGTGCGGGCAGCGCGGTGCGGGACCTGCCGCCCTCAGCGGCAGCGGGAGCTGCTCTCAGGCAGCTCCAGAGCTGTTTGCTCCGCTGTCGCGCTCTGAACCGTGTCCCCGCAGCGTGCCGGGGCAGGCGGCGGCTGTGGGACCCTCCCGGGCATGAGGGCACCCAGAACGTCCCAGCACCCGCTGGGGGTTCGCTGCTCCCCGCGGTCTCGCGTCTCTTGGCACGTCCCGGCTGGAGCAGCCGGTACAGCCGTGCTGGCACCGTCTGGGGCAGGCTGGCAGTGAGCACTGGAGCTCCAGCCCCAGCCGCAACCCCAGCAGCCCAGGCTGAGATCGAGCTGGGAGAGCGTTTCCCAGTGCTGTTACTGTCCGCCCACCTGCGGTAGCATCCTCCAGCTGCCAGGTTCTCTGCACCCAAGGAGGTTCCCTGACCTCCGGCAGCAGGACTGGCATTGTAACACTGCTGTCCTGCCCTGGGATGAGGGCTCAGCGTGGGGCACACAGGACCAGGGACCACCAGCGTGGGGCAGGAGGGCTGTGGGACCACCTGTGGCTGCACTGGAGCTGCCACGACCCACGAGCCTCGATGGCCCACACTGTGCCATCCTGCTCCCTCCCTGGACACTGCCTGGGCAGGGGGAAGCAAGGCACTGCCGGTGGCTTATCCAGCTGGTGGGTGGCACTGCTGCCAGTGCTGGGGCTGGTGGCCACACTGTGGGTGCGTGGGTTGGCTGGGGCCCCACTGATGGCATGGTGACTGCAGTGTCTGCTGTGAGCACATGTCCCCAGAGTGTTCCCAATGGGACTGAGCCCTGCTGGCACTCTGACCATGAGGAACTGCTGCAGCACCAGCACCGAACACCTGCCTGATGCCTCTTCCCCTCATCCAAGGAATTCACAGCTGCTGCTGGTGGGGTTTCCGACCAGACCCTGGCTGAGGTTCCTTCTGCAGCAGACATATCCCAGGCCCTCCCAGCCCCCTTGTGCTGCAGTTCCTGCTCAGCTGCCTTATGTCACCTTCCCTGGGTCCATCCATGGCAGCCTCACCATGTCCCTCCTGCACCACGGGGTTTTCTCTCCCATTTATCCAGCCTACAGTCCCCGGCTGTTCTCCTGGTACAATATCCTGTGTGAGATGTGGTCATGTCCTTGCTTAGGTTTGGGCCCATCACCACCTTCATGGCATCACTGTGGCTGTGCCCCATTTCCCTCACAGGATGCACCGTGGTGTCTCCCCCTCCTTGGGCTCAGCCAGGTGACCTGACTTTATTAATCACCAGCAACCAGTTAATTACAGTGCTCCCAGGCTGTGGGAGCAGCAACCCCCTCAGCCTTTGGGTGCAGGCTTGGTGTGATCCCTCCTGCCAGCCCTGCTCTCCCCTGGGGCACAAAGTAACTGCTGCCTGTTCATGCCCTGTGTCCATGCCAGGGCACTGCTGGTTTGTAGATCTTGGTGTTTGCCTGGCATCTTCTCCCATGTGTTGTGGCGAAGTGGCTGCACTTGCAGCACCTGAGGAGCTCTGGTCTGAGCCACCGCTGCTCTGTGCCAGTGCAGGGGCTTTTCCATGGGTCACTTGGTAATTTTTTGCTGGGGGTCAGTTTGCTGCGGGTCCGTTTGCCATGGCTTGGTTTGGGCTCAGCCAGGGGCTGGACCAAGGCTCTGAAGAGCAGGTGAAGGGACCCCGGGGTTTCCAGATGTACTCCGAGAGGCAGCAGGGTGAGATCTGGGAGAGATCCCAGCTGAAAGAGGTTGGGAAATTGAGGCACCGCAGGAACACAGAGGAGGTGGAGCCAAGCCAAAACCCACAGGTACTGGTGATGGCTGGAGCACAGGACAGACGGGGGATCCTGGCCAGGGGAGCTCTGTTCCAGCTGGTGGGGATGGGCTCTCCCTGGGGAGGCACAACAACGCTCCAGACCTCCACGCTGGTGTGCCAGGGCCAAGGCTGTGTGCCAGGGGCAAGGCTGTGCAGCCTTGTCCCCTCCCCTCTGCCAGGACCCGGTGCCCTGTGCCCACCGCCCCTCTGCTCTCCTTGCAGGTGCGCCGTGCTGCAGGAAACACCGGAGATGGTGCGGAGGGGTCGCCATGGGACAGGGAAGAGATGGAGAGGTACGGACACCGCTGGGCGCTGCCAGACGGGCCATGTGGGGAGCTGCAGGTGTGCCCGGGTGTCTGCACCCTTATGGGGAGCTGGTGAACCCTGCACCGGAGTCTGGGCCGGCGCCGGGGTGGGCCCAGCGGTGCTGGGGCGAGCAGGGTGGGAGCGCAGGCGTGGCCGTGGCGCACTTGGTGCAGGCGGGCAGCAAGCCTGGGGTTCGGGGCGGTGCGGGGCGCGGGGACGGTGGCCGTGTCCCCAACAGCCTGGTGTGTCTCTGCTCTCTCCCCAGAGCCTGTCTGCGCTCAGAGCAGAGACTGGAGGTGCAGGAGCAGCTTCTCGCCCTGCGGCACTGGCTGGACGCCGTAGAGAAGCGGCTGCTGGCGCTGCCAGAGCCCGGCACGGCCCTGCAGGTAACGTCTGGCCCTGGGGTGTGACTGGGCCGTGCAGAGCCCGGCGGGACCAGCCTCGGTGCAGACGTGAGGTCTTGGTCCTTGCAAGGAGGAAGGCATCTGGCCGAGCTGGCTGGGAGACCCCTCAGCAGAGCCCAGCAGCCGTCCGGAGTCAGGTCTCCCCTGTCCGGCTCCCTCTCCCCAACCCAACAGTGCTGCTGGCTTGGAGCCCCTTGGCCCTGGTGGCACTCGGGGTGCCACTGCCTTGGAGCCCCTTGGCCCTGGTGGCACTCGGGGTGCCACTGCCTTGGAGCCCTGCTGACCACGGTGCCACCACCTGCACCGGGTTCAGCCACAGCTCATGGCACTGTTGCCTGGGCATGAGGAGAGTGGCCAAACACCGAGGGTGTGAGGCTGTGTGAGGGGTGTACAGCCGGGCACAGGGGGTGTGAAGCTGTGCACGGGGTGTACAGCCGGGCACAGGGGGTGTGAGGCTGTGTGAGGGGTGTACAGCCGGGCACAGGGGGTGTGAGGCTGTGCACGGGGTGTACAGCCAGGCACAGGGGGTGTGTGACTGTGCATGGGTGTACAGCCAGGCACAGGGGGTGTGTGGCTGTGCATGGGGTGTACAGCCAGGCACAGGGGGTGTGAGGCTGTGTGAGGGGTGTACAGCTGGGCACAGGGGGTGTGAGGCTGTGCATGGGGTGTACAGCTGGGCACAGGGGATGTGTGGCTGTGCATGGGGTGTACAGTGAGCACAGGGGGTGTGAAGCTGTGTGAAGGGTGTACAGCTGGGCACAGGGAGTGTACAGTGGGCACAGGGGATATCTGGCTGTACGAGGGGTGTACAGCTGGGCACAGGGAGTGTGTGGCTGTGCATGGGGTGTACAGCCAGGCACAGGGAGTGTGTGGCTGTGTGAGGGGTGTACAGTGGGCAAAGGGGGTGTGTGGCTGTGTGAGGGGTGTACAGCCGGGCACAGGGGGTGTGTGGCTGTGCATGGGGTGTACAGCCGGGCACAGGGGGTGTGTGGCTGTGTGAGGGGTGTACAGCCAGGCACAGGGGGTGTGCCCTTGCCAGGGCAGCTCGGATGTGTGCCCACGCACTGGCTGTGCAGCCGTGTGCTGCTGTGCCCCCTGCCCAGGCGTGGAGCCGCAGCGGGGGCGGTGCAGTGGGGGCTGCCGGCAGCCCCCTCCTCGCCGCCCCGCGCGCAGCCCCTCGCCGGCTCCTTTTGTTCGAGGCCTGGCCGGCACACGGGCTCCCTCGGCACACATGACGGCACAAACTGAAAGGGCCATTCATCCCGGCCCCGGCGCAGACAAAGCCGAGGCCGCACAGAAACCCACCCGGTTCCCGGGATCTGAGGCTGTGGATTCCAGCCGACCGCTCCCGCCCGGTGCCCCGCGCCGGGCTCCCCTGCCCGGGGCGCCCGTGCCACCCCGAGCCCGGTACCTGGGGCTGCGGAGCGTGCCGGGCGAGCTGCCGGCGGGCGCGTGGGACGGAGGTGGCGAGTGGCTCTGAGGAAAGAGCTGGATCCTCACCCCCTGCGCAGCTTCTGCCTGGCAGGTCCGGGCTGGGCTCTGAGGGGGCTGTGGGGTGACTGGAGTCCCGTGGGGCTCAGACCCGTGCCGGGTGCCGAGCACCTCGGTGCCAGCAGCGGAAGGCTCCAGAGCCGTGTGGGGAGGATGATGCAGGGCTGCCGCAGGACGGTGCGGAGCCACCGCGGCCCTGGCAGATGCTAATTCCCGGCAGCGTCTCTGGCAGCAGACAAAGCCCCCGGCCCCGCCGCCCGCCGCTCCCAGGAGACCCCAGGGAGCCCCATCCATCAGCGTGGCCGACGCGCCTGCAGCGGCCCCCCGGCTCCCGGGGCCCAGCAAGGGGCACCCATGGGGCTCTGTGGGGCAGGATCCAGTGCTGGGGGGCTCTCAGTGCATGGGAGGCCGCAGCACTGGAGCTGAGCCAGGGCAGGATGGGGATGGGGATCACACCATGGGCAGGATCAGCCCCTGGCTGGGCACCTCCAGCTGCCCCCTGGTCCCTCCAGCACCCAGGATGGCAGCGAGGGGTTTCTGGAGATGCAGGCCTGCAGCACCCTGGCTCTCAGGGTGGGCTTCAGTTTAGCATCTTAGCAGCCAGGCCTGGCCCCCCCAGCCCAGCCCAGCCCTGATCCACTGAGCCCCCCGGGACCTTGGCTGAGGAGTCCCTGCACCCAAAGAGCCCCAGGGAGCGGGGCCAAGCCCCTCAGTGACCACAGCATCCACTGCCGGGGGGCCAGAGCCAGGGTGGGGGCTGCAACCCCAGCACTGGGGGGGCCGTGGGGCTGTGACACCGGGGGGCTGTGCTGTCCTGGGGCTCACTGTGAGGCAGCACAGCCTGGGCTGATACCGGTGCAGGTGCTCGTGTCGGTGCCGGTGCAGGTGCTGTGGCAGGTGCAGGGCAGCAGCAGGTGCCGGTGAGATTATGGTGCAGGTGCCGGTGTTGGTGCAGGTGCTGGTGTCGGTGCTGGTGCTGGTGTCGCACAGGTGCCGGAGCCAGTGCGAGGTGCGGGCAGTCGCCCCCCCGGACGGCGCGGGGCGGGCGGTGGGCCGGCACCGCCCCTCCCCCGCGGGATGGCTGCGGGGCCCCGGGGGTTTCCCCGGTAACGGCGGCGATCGGCTCCCGGAGGGTTAACGGGGGCGGCGGTGTGTCCGGGGTCAGACCAGCTCCGCCGGGCCGGGCCGCTGCCGGTGCGAGGGTCTCCGCCCGGTGCCCCCCGCCCCGCGCTCCCCCCGCGCCGCGGGCGCGGCGCACAAAGGCGGCGGGGCCGGGGCGGCGGTAACGGGGACCGAGTCTCCCCCCGCCGCCTCCGCCCCGCTCCCCCGCACGGGCCGGGCCCCCCCGGAGCGGTAACGGCGGCGGCGGCGCCCCCGGCCCGGCCCCATGGACGCCCGAAGTCGCCGAGGGGTGAGTGCGGGGCGGGGGCTCCGCGCGGGTCCGGGACTGCGGCGGGCGCGGGGCCGGGCGGGGTCCGTGTCCCGCAGCCCCGCGGAGCGGGTGGCGCGGGTCGGGGTCTCCCCAGGTCACCCCGCGCCGTGGCCCACCCACCCGCGCAGTCCCCAGACGCGCGGGGTGGGGTGCGGTGGGGTGGGAGTGCGATGCCCCGCGGGGCTGCACCCACCGGGGCGACACATCGGGACTCTGCCGTGGGTGCGTGTCCCGCGGGGGTCGTGCCCGTGGCGTGCTCCACGGCGTGTTGGGCCGAGCGTGGGGGCTCAAGGCACCCACGGTACCCCGGTGCCCACCAGGGGCACGGCCACGGTGGGTGCGTGTGGGTGCACGTGCGGTCCCCACGCGTGTGCGGGGCTGCTACAGGTGTGTGTCGTGTCATGGCTGATGCAGACGTGGGGGTCCTGTCGCTGACCCCGCCCCTGCCCCCAGCAGGGGTGCGAGCGTGGGGTCTGCCTGTCGGGGAGGGTGTGCACACGGGTGGGAGTGAGCGTGTGTGTGTGGTGTGTGTTTGCACACGTGTGCGGCGTGTGTGCGTGTGTTTGCACACGTGTGCGGCGTGTGTGCGTGTGTTTGCACACGTGTGTTTGTGTGTACACACGTGCACAGGGGCGTGTGCCCAGGGCCGGGTGTGAGGCCGGGGGTAGCAGCACTGCGGCTGCGGCGGGGGGGCTGCCGAGGGAGGGTCTTACCGGGTCACGCCGGGGATTTATGGCTGCGGCAGGGCTTGCAGGCTGGAGAGGCCACCTGCCTGTCCCCTGCCTGTCCCCTGCCTGTCCCCCGGCTGCTGCTCCCACCGCCCCAGCCCCCCGTCCCCCCGGCAGATGCTCCTCTCTCGCGGCTTCTCGTTAATCCAGCGGCACAGGGCGATGCCGGGCGGGAGCATCTGCCTCTCCCCAGTGCTTGGCGCTGCTGCCACTGCCGCGTCCTCTGCCGAGACGTGTAGGACAGGCACCCTGGGCTCTACCGAAGGTCCCTCGAGGTCCCCTCCCTCCGCCAGGCCCCGGTGACAGCCAGTGTCCCATCTCCCTGTCTCAGCACTCTGGCTCTTGGCACCCTTTGTGGGGGGCAGGACCCCAAAGACTGGAGAGTGAGGTCTGGCAGCACGGTGGAGTGAGGAGGGTGACCCGAGCGCAGGCCAGCGGCATTGGGGGGCCCCGCGGTGGCCCCGGTAACGCGCATCCCCTGGCTCATTGCAGGCCGGGATTTGAGGCGGGGGCCCGGCGCCCGCGCCATGGGGAACTCGGTGAGCCGGCCCAGCTGCCTGGGCGAGAAGAGCCGGCGGCCGGAGGAGCTCCTGCGGGAGCCGGGGCTGGACGCGGGGCAGCCGTCCGCCGGAGGCGCCACGGAGGCCGGGCCGGGGCTGCTGGAGAAGGCGCCGGTGCCGGTGGAGAACGGCTGGAGCCCGGTGCCCGGCGCCCTCCGGAGCCGGCCGGGCAGCCCGGTGCTGAGGCGCAGCCAGTCCGAGGTGGCGGTGCAGAACGGGGGCGCAGCTGGAGTTCCCGTGAGGGGGCAGGTGGGGGGCGCAGCCTGGACCCCCCCCCGGGCCAGCGTTCCCCGCAGCACCTGGTCCTGGAAGCCCGTCACCACCCGGGAGGTGACGGAGGTGACGGAGGTGACCGAGACCATCGTGACGGAGATCGTGGAGGTGACCGAGTACCCGGCGGGTGAGAAGGGTGGCGAGCCCGTGGTCACCCGGACGGTCACCGTGCTGACGGAGTGCGTGGGGGAGCTCACTGCTGCTGGCTGCGCCGGACACACAGATGCCACCGAGGTGACTGACTGACGGAGAGCCTTGCTGGGAGGACACTGTGCCAAGCTCTGTGCCACAGGGCTGCCCTCCAGTGTGGTTTTCTCCACAGCAAGTCTTGACCTTCGTGTCCCTTGGCCAGGGCTCGTGTGGAGTTGTTGTCTGTGCCCTGGCATGGGCTGGGCTGGCAGCACGGCTCGTGCTGGGCACCCAGCCTGGTGCTGTACGACAGGGAGCTCCCTTCCCTCAGCTTTGGCTGGGGGGGCCATGGGTCCGGCGGGATCCAAACGGCACCAGGTGCGCAGCCCCTGCTTTGGGGAGCGCTGTGAAGGATGCCAGGGAGAGCCCCACGGGCTGGACAGGGTCCCACTGTTGCTGGTGTCACCTCGGGGACAGGGCATGGTGTGAGGGCTGCTGCCCAGCCCCATACCTGCCCTCCACCTGCCCACATGGGCAGCTCAGCCACCTCTCCCCACAGGTGTCCTCACGGGCTGTCCCTGTCCCAGAGGAGGCAGCGGACCGGGGCCAGGAGACGCTGGAGCGGCTGCAGGCCTGGGTGGCCGACATGGAGGAGTTGGTGAGCAACCAGAAGCCGCCGTCGGCGGAGGCGAAGGTGGTGAAGGCGCAGCTGGAGGAGCAGAAGGTCAGCAGGGCCAGCCGGCGTGCCCGCCCACGCGTGCCCCATCCGGGGATTAGGGGGCCGGGGCTCAAGCAGGCTGTGCCGAGGTGGGGGGGATGCACAGGGGTCCCCAGCACAGCACGGTGTCCCCCATCCCTGCAGCTCCTGAAGCGCCTGCTGGAGGAACGGAGGCCGTGTGTGGAGCTCGTCCTGCAGGACAGACTGACGGCACAGGGCTCGGGCACGGCGGCGCCCAAGGGCAGTGCTGGCATCTTCAGCCTTGGGGAGAGGTGGGACAAGCTGATGCAGGAGGCTGAAGCCAGGTGGGTCAGGGGCCAGGCGCTCATCCCTGGGCTGGCATCCCCATCCCGCTGGTGTCCCCCGCATGGAGTCTCCGTGACACCCTGATGTCCCTGTGCTCAGCCCCACTGGCGCTGGGGCCACCACAATGGAGGGACTGTCCCTGTCGCACAGCTGGGGCTGCACAGGAGCAGCAGATCCGGGGCTGTACAGAGAGTCTGTCACACAGCCCTTCCCACTGGCCCCTCTGTGGGGACCCTGGCCCCTCTGTGGGCACACTGCCCTTGCTGTGTCCCTCGCTGCAGGGCAGCACAGGGCGTGGGCACTCTGGTGTGGGGGAGAGGAGCCTTTGCAGGCTGGGACCTCGGTCTCAGGGACTGTCACTGCCCGGCTCACCAACCCTCCCGGCGCAGGTACGGCTGCCTGGAGCGGATCCTGCCGGCAGCCCAGGGCTTCCAGGAGGCCGTAGACGCCTTCCAGGAGTGGCTCGGTGCCACGGAGCGGCAGCTGGCCCAGCTCTGGTGTGCTGATGGCTGTGTGGGCCACATGCAGGATGCCCACCAGCAGACCCAGGTGGGCACAGGTTGGGTCTGGGGTGGGCACAGGGTGGACACGGGCACCCGTGTCATCGCTGGTCACTGCTACAGGCCCTCTGTGAGGAGATCCGCGGGCGGCTGGGAGAGCTGGATGGCGCCCTGGAGAGCGGGCAGCGGGTCCTGGAGCTGGTGACAGGTGAGTGGCAATGGCTGGGAGTGGTGGCACAGGGTCGGGACCGTGGGACTTGGGATGGGGTGAGCACAGACAGCAGCAGCCCAGGCTCCTGGGCACTGGGGGTCCTTGGGGCGTGCTGCTCCCCACTGGGAGCTGTGGTGTGGTGTGAGGGGGGGCAGACAGCACCCCATGGGGTGCAGAGGGGCCAGGGCAGAGCCTGTGGGTCAGAGCTGTGGTGGGACAGGGTTCAGCGGTGACGAGGTGCACTGGGGAGGTGGGTCTTGCTGGCAGAGGGATGAGAGGCCAGAGCTGGGTCTTGGGAGCAGAAGGAGCAGGGGTAAGGGAGGGGAAAGGCCAGGACAGTGATTGTCAGGTGGCTGGAAGCTGTTGGTGTGGCCAGTTCCATGTCCAGGGATGCCAGTGCGGTGGCACTGATGGCAGTGTCGCACTGCCACAGGGGAGGAGGCCCAGCTGACTCAGGAGAAGATGGAGTCGCTGAGGATGCGGTACCTCATCGTGGGCCAGAGCAGTGCTGACACTGCTCACCGGCTGGGGCAGACCCTGGAGGCCTCGTCCCGCCTGGGCACGGCCCCTGAGGACCTGGCACTGTGGCTGAGCCGCATGGAGAAGGAGCTGGGCGAGCAGGAGAGCCAGCAGGATGGCCAGGAGCCCTCGGTCACTGCCAGTGACAGGGAGAAGGTGTGGGGCACTGAGCTCCCTGAGCCCCTCACCATTCCCAGCGTCAGTCCCGGTGCGTTCACACCCTCCCTGGCTGACGTCTGTCCCTCTGCTGCAGTTTGAGCAGGTCCTGGAGTCCCAGCTCAGCCGTGTGGCTGGGCTGGGGGAGCGGCTGGAGGAGATCGGCCGTGTGCAGCTGGATGCTGAGGCTCTCCGCTCGCAGATCTCCGAGCAGAAGGTGGGTCTGCAGCAGTGCCCAGGGGTCTCGGGGGCACTGGCTTGGCATCCCCATCCCACTGGCTACTGCCAGGACCTGGCACCCACCTGTGGCTCCATTCCAGCTGCTCTCTGCTGAGATCCTGCATTGCCGGGGCCTGGTTGAGCGTCTGCTGGGGTTCTCGGAGCCGCTGCTGCGCTGCTGCCCCGAGCCCCTGCGGCAGCACCTGCAGGTGAGCCGGGAGGGTGCCGGGGGGACACTGCCAGCACCCAGGGATAGCTGTGCCCTGTGTCCCCGGGCACGTGGTGACTCCCTGTCTCCACAGCTGTCGGTGCAGGCGCTGCGGGAGCGCACGGAGCAGCTGTCCCTGCGCAGCAGCGCCTGTGCTGTGCAGCTGGAGCACGCCCAGTCCCTGCTCACTCAGTTCTCCGAGGCCCTCGAGGAGCTGCTGCCCTGGCTGGAGGAGACGCAGGCCCTGGGGGTGCAGCTCTCCCCCAACGCCATCAGCTATGAGGCCTTCAAGGAGCAGCAGGCGCTGCTGCAGGTGTGGGCAGGGCAGGGGCAAAAGGGACTGGCTGGGCCACCCCGCAGGCTGGGAGTGGAGAGGTGACAGACTGGGGGTGGCACTGCCATGGGGACTGTCGGGCTGGGACACCTGGTGAACAGGAGTTCTCTGGGAGCAGCCCCGGGTGCACCAGCACATCCCTGTGGGGCAAATCCCATGGGGCGCATCCCACCCCAATGCACCCCCACGGCTCTTCCTTGCTGCCAGAGCCTGCGGGAGGCGATTGCCGAGCACCGGCCACTGGTGGGGAAGCTGCAGCGCGTGTCAGCGCAGCTGCTGGAGCTGAGCCCAGAGCAGGGAGCCCCGTTCCAGCAGCGCTGGCAGGAGGTGGAGGAGCAGTACAGCCACATCCGCGAGCGGGTGCGCCAGGCAGCGGCTCTGCTGGAGGATGCCCTGCCGCGATACAGCCAGGTATGGGGCTGGCACCGCCCTGGTGGGGCGCGTCCCCAGGGCCGTGCCGTCGAGTCACCGGGCCGCTCCGCAGCTGTCGGAGCGCATGGACCTGCTGCTGGAGTGCCTGGAGCGGCTGCAGAGCCGGCTGCAGAGCCAGCCCCCCGTCCGCGGCGACGCGGCCCACTTGAGGGAGCAGATCCGGGAGAACAGCCTGGCCCTGGGCGAGCTGGAGAAGCTCGGGGTGGCCCTGGAGGGCATCCGTGCACAGGGCGAGGAGCTGCTGGCCACCATGCAGGCGGCCAGCTCCGACGCCGCGGCCAGAGGTATCGGCACGGAGGGGTGGGCACGGCCTGGCTGGCTGGCGATCCGTGTCCCTGTCAGGGCCGTGTGTGGGTGCCGGGGCCCTCGCAGCACCCTGATCCCCGAGCCGCTGTGCCCCGCAGGGATCCAGGAGCGCACGGCGCAGCTGCTGTCCCAGTGGGGCTGCCTGCGTGGCCGCTGCCAGGAGCAGGAGCGCTGGCTTCGGGAGCTGCTGGCACTGGCCGAGCGCTTCTGGCACGGCCTGTCTGAGCTGGCCGTGGCGCTCAGTGACACCCAGCAGCTGGTGCTGGGGCTGGAGGAGGCCGGTGGCGAGCCCGAGGCCATTCGCACGCAGCTGCGCACCATGCAGGTATGGCCGGGCGGGGGCTTGGGCAGTGCCGTGGCACGGGCAGCCCCTGGCGTGGGCAGTGCCCTGGGCAGCCCCTGGCGTGGGCAGCCCTGAACCCCCCGTGCCCTGCACAGGCCCTGCGGGAGGAGATCGACGCGCTGCAGGGTGAGCTGGACACGCTGGGCAGCCTGGGCGTGGAGCTGATGGCGTCCTGCGGGGACCCTGACAAGCCCGATGTCACCAAGAGCCTGGACGATGTGAGCGTCCTTGGGGCTGGGCTCAGGGTGGGTGGGCTGTGCGGATGCTGCTTGTGGAGGTGGCATGCCCCCAGTCCCCAGCAGTGCCACTGAGCCCCACTCAGTGCCACTGATCCTGGGCCCAGGCACTCCCGTGGCGTCTCCAGGCCTGGATGTCCGTGTGGTGCCACCCCCGTTCCCCTGCCACCTCCCTGGCACTAGGGACCCCCACACCCTGTCCCCTTGGGGCACTGCTGACCCCTGTGCCCTGTCCCCTCTGTCCCCGGCCCCGCTGTGGCACCACTGACCCCCGTGCCCGGCCGCAGCTCTACTCCTCCTGGCACAGCCTGAGCCGTGCGTGGACGGAGCGGAACGGGCGCCTCGAGGAGCAGCTCCAGGCCGCCCTCAGCTACCAGGACACCATGCAGGTGGGTGCGGGGTGCCCTCAGGCCGAGGGGGCCGTGTCACCCTCCTGTCCCCACTCAGGGGTGTGAGGGACCATGGGGCCACCATGGGACCCCCAACCCCGCGTGTTCCCTGTCCCCAGCGGCTGCTGGAGTGGCTGGATGCAGCCGAGCTGCGCATCGCCGAGGAGTTCCTGGTGGGCGGGGACCTGGACATGGTGCAGCAGCAGCTGGCCGAGCTCAAGGTGACGTGCCGTGCTGTGCCGTGCTGTGCCGTGCTGTGCCGTGCTCTGCCATGCCAAACCGTGCCGCACCAAACCATGCCGTGCCGCACCGGCAGGGGCAGGGAGGGCAGTGGGTGCTCCGGGCAGAGCAGGGATGGATTGGGATGGCAGGTCAGACAGTGCCAGGGCCCCAGTGCGCTGGGTAGCCAAGTCCTGCCTGGGGTGGCCAAGTCCTGTCCCCCACGAGTCCCTGAGGAGGTTGGGCACCCCCACGGGAGCAGCTCAGGGCCCAGGTGCCTGTGCTGTGCCGTGTGGTGCTGTGGGACCAGGCAGACCCTGTCACCAACCGGTGCCGCCTCCCAGGAGTTCAAGCGGGAGCTGTACCAGTGCAAGGTGGATGTGGAGAGCCTGCGGCACCAGGGGGGCACGGGGCAGGGGGACCCCCCGGCCACGCTCAGCGACTTCCGCCAGCGCTGGGACCACCTGGAGGAGGAGATCGTCAGCCGGCAGGTGGGGAGGGGGCACGGGGGGCGCAGGGCAGGGCTGGCAGGACAGGTGGGGTGCCATGAATGTGCTGGCTGGGCACGTCCTGCGGTTCTGGGTCAGTGTGGGGGGTTACAAGTGGGTGCTGGGTGTGGGTGCAAAGGACTGGTGGGCACTGGGTGGGGGGACAGGGCCGGGTGGACACTGAGTGGGTGCTGGGTGGGTGTTCAGGGCCGCGTGGGCACTGGGTGGGCACTGGGTGGGTGCCAAGTGCTCTGTGGGTGCCCAGGGCCGGGGCTGCCCTTGCTCCCCTGATGTCACGGCTCCCTCCTGGCAGCACCAGCTGGAGGCAGCGCTGCTGGGGCTGGGGCAGTTCCAGCACCAGCTGGCCGAGCTGCTGCAGTGGCTGAGCCGCACCGGGGAGCAGCTGCGCGGCCCTGCACCCTTGCGGCCTGACCTGCAGAGCTGCGAGATCGAGCTGGCCAAGCACAAGGTGAGGCTGCGCTAAGTGGCCTGAGGGACACGCGGCCACAGCCATAGTGGCACTGCCAGGGTGTGTGTCCTGGGGGTCCTGGCCCTGGTGGCACCCCAGGGTGGGCGTCCCAGCCATGGTGGCACGTCAGGGTGGGGGTCCTGGCTGTGGTGGCACACGAGGGTGCGTGTCCTGGCCACAGGGCTCTGCCTGGCCCCTCCTCAGGTGCTGCGGCAGCAGGGCCGGGCAGGCTGCAGCACGGGGACGCGTCCCCTCCCGCGGTGACACCACGGGAGGAATGAGCTGTCTCAGTGCCGGCCCCGTGCCACAGCCCCTTGCCCGGGCACGCTCCTGGCGTGCCTGACGCCGGCGAGGCTGCGAGGGCCGGGCTGTCCCCGTGCCAGGGGGGGCCGTGCAAGGGGTACCTGTCCCCTCTGCGCCTATCCCCTCTGCGCCTGTCCCGGCCACCCCGCTGCCACAAATCGGCAAATCCTGTGCCTCGGCCCTGCCCCGCACCCTGCTGAGATCGAAAGCACTGGCACCAGCTTAGAGGCACCCATGGGTGCTGTCCTTGCCCTGTGTGACACCCGCAGTCCCCAGCGGTGCTACGGGCAGCAGAGGTGTCTCGGGGCGAGGGGCTCTGCGGGGTGTGGGTGCCCCGGTGCCAGCCGTGACGCCGCCGCTCCATCCCCAGGTGCTGCGCACGGACGTGATGTCCCACGCCCGCACGGTGCAGTCGGTGACCGAGGCTGGGCAGGGGCTGCTGCTCTCCAGCCTGGGCGAGAGCGTGGAGGGGCTGCAGCGCAGCCTGCAGCAGCTGGAGCAGCACTGGGACCTGGTGCGCAGCGAGACCGAGAGCCGGCAGCTGGAGCTGGAGAACAACCTCAGCCAGGTAGGGCCGCGGCACCGCGGCGCTGCCGCCCGCGGGGCCGGCGCTGAGCCCCGCCTCGCCCCCAGGTGCAGGACATCACGCTGGAGATCACGGAGCTGCTGCAGTGGCTGGAGCAGGTGGAGCTGCAGCTCTTCTGCTCCAAGCCGGCCTGGGGCCACCCGGATGCCACCAAAGAGAAGCTCAATGCACACCTGGTGAGAACCAGCACCAGCCTGGGCCCTGCTGCAGGGCCGGCCCCTGGGGTCTGCTGGTCTCTTGGGGGGATGTGTGCCCCAGATCTGCCAGGATCCTTCTCTGCTGCCTGCTCTCCCCTGTTGGAGCCTGGTACCCCTCCCTCAGCTGCTCCGGCTCCGTTAGACAGAGCAGGAGACATCCTTGTCCTGTCCCTTGCCCTGAAAACTGTTCCTGTCCCCATCCACATCCCTGTCTTCATCCCCTCTCCCTGTTCACTGTGGCTGTCTCCCTTGTCCCCTTTCCCTGTCCCCATCCCTATTCCCTGTCTGCTTTACCTGACCCCTCCACATCTCCATCCCTCTTCCCATCTCCCTCTCTGTTCCCATCCTCATTCCCATCCCCATCCCTGTACCTGTCACCCTGCCTGCCCCATCCACATTCTCACCCCTATCCCCATTCCAATCCCTGTCCCCATCTGCTTTACCTGCTCCCTCCACATCCCCATCTCTGTTCCCATCCCTGTTCCCAACCCTATCCCTGTACCTGTCACCCTGCCATCCCCGTTCCCATCCCCATTCCCATCCCTGTTCCTATCCCTGTACCTGTCACCCTGCCTGCCCCATCCCCATCCCCATCCCTGTTCCCATCCCCATCCCTGTACCTGTCACCCTGCCTGCCCCATCCACATCCTCACCCCTATCCCCATTCCACTCCCTGTCCCCCTCCTCATCCTGCGCGCCGTCCCGGTGCTGACGCGGGTGCCGTGGTGGGCGCTGTCCCGGTGTCCCGGCAGGAGCTGTGCCGGGAGCTGGAGGCGCGGGCCGTGTCCTACCGGGGGCTGCGGGAGCGGCTGCAGCGGCTGCTGGACTCGTGCCGCGCCGGCCGGCCCTGCAGCACCGAGCACAGCCTGCGGCTCCTGGAGCAGAAGTGGGAGAGCGTCCAGGCCGAGGCCCAGGAGCGGAAGGTGTGCGGGGTGCTGGGGCGCTGTGACCCCCGGGGGGCTCCCCCTGCCCGGACCGGCTCAGGAGCGGCGGGAGCCCGTCTCCACCGCTGCCCGCCGCTGCCCGCAGGAGCGCCTGGCCGAGGGGCTGACGGTCACCACCGAGTTCCACGGCTCCGCGCAGGAGCTGCTGCGCTGGGTGGCCCACGCCGAGGAGCTGCTGGGGTCCCCCGCGCCCCCCAGCTTCGTGCTGGACACCGTCACCGCCCAGATCCAGGAGCACAAGGCAAGCGCTGGCGGGGCCGGCGCGGCGCCCCCGGGGTCGGTTCGTGGAGCTGGGGTTCGCCCGAGGGGTCCTGCGTGGCACCTGCAGGGTGCTGGGGCGAGCGGGGCGCCCGGGGCAAGCGGCGGGTGTGTCCCCACGGCAGCGGAGCGAGCGCTCTCTGCCCCATCCCAGCCCGTGCCTGCTGCTCCACGTCCCGTCCTGGCACGGGTCTCGTCCGGGGGCTCCGCACCCGGCCCAGGACCAGCCGCACTCAGCTGCCCCTGCCCCGCAGGCCCTGGTGAAGGAGGCGAACGCCCACGGGGAGAAGCTGGGCGGGCTGGAGGCCGTGGCGGCGCGCCTGAAGGACTTCAGTCGGAAGCAGGACGGGGCCGTCATCCAGAACCTGGTGCTGGCGGCCCGGGAGCGGCTGGGCAAGGTCCTGCAGCGGGCGGCCGAGCGCGGGGCGGTGCTGGAGGAGGCCCGAAAACGCAGCAAGCAGGTACCGGGACACAGCCCCGGGCTGGCGAGGGGGCTCTGCCCCTTGCTTTGCTTTGGACACGGGCCTGGAGGGACATGGCTTCCCACTGCCAGAGGGCAGGGTTAGATGGCATCCTGGGGAGAAATTCTTCCCTGTGAAGGGGGTTTCCCGGAGGAGCTGTGGTTGCCCCATCCTCGGATGTGTCCAAGGCCAGGTTGGAGCAAGCTGGGCTAGTGGAAGGTGTCCCTGCCCGTGGCAGGGGGGTGGAACTGTGTGCGCTTTAAGGTCCTTCCAACCCAAACCGTGCCGGGACTCTTGATTCCGTGCCGTGGGTCCTGCTGGGAGCTCTGCCAGGAAGGGACCACGCGGCTCTGGTGGTGCCCATGGTGGTGCCCAGGCCCTGCCACTCCCCCGTGTGGCTCCGTGGCTCCTGTTTGGGTCGCCCCAGATCCGCTTTGCCCCCTCAGCTCCCTGCAGCCCCCACAGCCCTGCCCTCCCCTGCAGTTCAGCGAGTCCCGGCGGCTGCTTCTGGACTGGATGGACGAGGTGGAGCAGAGCCTGGAGGTGCCGCAGGACGCTGCCACCAGCCAGGAGGAGATCAAGTGCCAGCTGGCTGAGCACAAGGTGGGGCTGCCCCGCTCCTTGGCATGGGGGGTGCAGAACTGGGGTGCTGGGGACTGCAGGGGGGATCCCCAGCTCCCAGGGGGCATCCTCATCTCCCAGGGGGGTTCGGGGGGCTGTAAAGGGGGGATCCCAAACTCCCAGGAGGTTCTGGGGGCTGCAGAGGGGGATCTCCAGCTCCCAGTGGGAACACGCCGTGCCAGGACGGTTAGAGAACTCCCCAGGGCTATCCTGCAGAGTTGGGAGACCTGGGCGGGGAGTGCTGGGCCAAGGGATATTGGGCGTGTAGGGCATCCCAACTGCCCTTAGGGGAGGAGGGAGTCTCCCCCCACAGCTGGGGGACCCAGCACCCAGCTGTGGGGTGCTGGGGGCCCCGCAGGCATTCCAGAAGGTGCTGCGGGCGAAGCGGCCGGTGTACGAGGCGACGCTGCGGAGCGGGCGGGCGCTGCGGGAGGGGGCGCGGCTGCCCCAGGACCTGCAGCCGCTGGAGGAGCTGCTGGGGGAGCTGAAGGAGCGCTGGGATGCGCTGTGCAGCCACGCCGCAGAGAGGTGGGGAGGCCCGGGAGGGACTGGGATGGCATGGGAATGAGATGTGGGTGGGATGGGATGAGTTGGCATGGGGATGGGATAGGGAAGGGCTTGGGATACAGGTGGGATGGGATGGAAATAGTGCCACAGCACTTCTGTGAGGGTTTGGGGTGCACAGGAACCCTGTGCCCACTGTGAGGGACTGTTGGTTTCTTTGATGTGGCCTTTCTGTAATTGTTTTTTGACCAGTTGTTTGAGGGAACTCAGTTTCTTCTTCTCCAGGGGCCACTGACTCACCCAGACGGGATTGTTAGTTTTCCATGACAGCTTCAGAGTGACGAGTGCTGTCATGGCCCCTTTCAAAAATCCACTTCCAGCTGTGGCACGATCTGTTCTCTGCTCACTGTGCAGGTCCCAGGCAGGCCCATGGAATTGCTCTTCCTCCCTGAGCATTGTGCCCTGGGATTCCATTCCCAGCATTGCTGGGCTCTGCCCTTGGGGTGCAGCTGGGCCCCATCCCTGTCCGTTATGGTGCTGCCAGGACCTGTTCCTGTCCATAATGGCACTGCCATGACCTGTCCCTGTCCATTATGGCACCTCCAGGACCTGTCCATGTCCATAATGGCATTGCCAGCTCCATTGGGTGGCCCCGTTGGGTGGCCCCATGGGTGACCCACGGCCAGCTGCTGCAGCATCTCCCGTGCCCTGGCAGGCAGCACAAGCTGGAGGAGAGCCTGCTCTTCTCGGGCAAGTTCACGGACGCGCTGCAGGCCCTCATGGACTGGCTGTACCGCGCCGAGCCGCAGCTCAGCGAGGACGTGCCCGTCGGAGGGGACCGCGACCTGGTCGGGGACCTCATGGACAAGCACAAGGTGAGTGGCACGGGGCCTGCCGGGCCCCAGGAAGCCACGGGCAGTGCCCTCCCTCCCTCTGGGACAGGACAGGCAGTTGCCCACCAGGGTGACCCCTGCTTGACCACAGCTTGTGCCCCTCACCTGATACTGGGGGTCCCACCTGCCCCAGAGCTGGGAAGGGTTTGGGGTGCAGGGCAACCCTGTGCCCCCTTCTGTGAGGGTTTGGGGTGCACAGAAACCCTGTGCCCACTGCTGTGAGGGTTTGGGGTGCACTGGAACCCTGTGCCCACTGCTGTGAGGGTTTGGGGTACACAGGAACCCTGTGCCCACTGCTGTGAGGGTTTGGGGTGCAGGAGAACCCTGTGCCCACTGCTGTGAGGGTTTGGGGTGCAGG